TTGCTACCTCCAGAGCAATGGAAGTTTCACATCTTTCAGAAATACTAACTTCCATTTGTACAGTAGTTTCAGTTGGGAGTCCTCAGTTAGGAGCTTTAGAAACCACTAATGAGCCTGGCTGTAAAATGCCCTTATGTAAATATAATTAACCTCATACTGCATGATGGCAAGTCTTATGCACAGAGAGACTCTGTAATTGGAATAGGAAGGGAATCTAGCCTGGCTGACACCTGTGGTTTAACTGTAGAACCATCTTTTTCCTATGAAGTAGGGAATTTAAATCATGATTTATCTCCAACTCTTGCTGTATACTGTCAGCAACCAGAGAAAGGGGAAGTTAATGGATGCCTTGCATTTATGAGACAGGAGAAAAAAATAGAGCCTTGGGAGGGATATCTGTCTTGTCCCACATGCACTTAGAAGGTTTTTATTGAGGCATGAAAGGTTGCGTTGTTTCATTCTTTGTCTTTTTGTTCCTTTTCCAGGCACTGATGTGCTGCCAGCAATTCTGTGAAGGAATTTCTCCTATTAAGTGATCTTAAACCTCTTGTATGTGCTATGTGGGTACTCACAGAAGAGAAGGGAAAGAAAATTTAAGAATCAGGTCTTTTCCCCCTTAAATACTGAAATAGCATCTAGTAAGAGAGATGGTGACACTAAAGAGGCAGATTTACGTGAACCGTACTTGCCAGACATATATTAGTGTGGAAAAAGGGAAAGGTAAAAAAGAAAAAGTGAGTTTGTTAATGCCAAAGTGCAATTTTCAACTAAGTCTTTGGCACTGGGACAGGGAAAACCAAATTCTCTAAGAACTTTGGAAATGTCTGTTCTATGAGTGTTTTTCCTTAAATACTTTATATATTTTGGGTGATTTACTTGGGTTTGTATATGCGTGAACTTCAGTGAGTAATGTCAGAAGATAAATGGATGATTTGCTATTGTGACTGGAGGACAGAACAAATGAGATGGTAAGATTACCTCCAAAGCCCGCTCTTCAGTTTGGTTTAACAGTTTGAATGATTTCTACACTCTTCAATCTATGAAGGAAAAGAAAGTAATGCAAAATAACTGAGTTAAAGTCATTGGTCTCTGGATATATGAATTGTCTGGATTTCTTTCTGCCCCCCTGCTTTATGTATTGAAGTCTGGGAATAAATGAGGATTTATTAGTCAAATATTGTGGGCACACATGTAGTGAGGTACTCAGTCTGTGGACTGACACACTTGTACAAATTTGTGCAGTATGAACAATACTCTGAAAACTACTGGATGCCAACAAGGTTCACAGCCTGGCCCATTGTTTGGAGTAGCACCATCTTTACCTTTCATCCCCACTGGCTGCACAACCAAAGGGATATAAGGCAAAGACAGCAACAGAGTGACTTGAACTTGTTTGGACAAAAGTTGTTCTGTTAGAGGCTATGGGTGTTGCAATATCACAAGATATATCTGTGAGCTTTTACCTTTGTAACACCAAGTGGTGTTGCAGGCTTCCCAGTTTAGGAGTTGGAGAATGTTTGAAATTCAAGAAAATATTTCAGCTTTCATTTCCCCTCGAGACATTTCACTGCTGAAAAAATCCCACATTGGAAGGAAGTAATAAAGTACTAAAACTGGAGATATTCCTACATTAGGAAATCCTGGACTGTGGCTTAAGACAGATTTTATTTTATCTTGATTTTTCTATGTCTTGTGTTAGAGAAAACAAAGTATGTTCCCATTTTAGTATCTCTATAATACACTGTTGACTATGAAGTGTCCCTGCTGAGGAAAAGAGTAAATCAAAGGAGCTCAAGGCCAGACAGTATGTACATGTAGAGTTTAGTTCTGAGCGACTTCATGCTGAGAAACAGATTTTTTTATTTGTCCAGGAAGTATGCCAGCATCTGTAAGGAAACCAGGCAGTGGTGCTGGACCCTCAGGATCAAGAAGGTGTTTAAGTAGTCCAACACACTGCATTGTGAGTGTCCATCCAGGGCTCCTCTAGGAGGTCTCTCAGGAATGCTGCTTTTCACAGCTGGTACATCAATGTCAAGAAGTAGCTTCCTGTGTTCTGCAACAAAGCAAGTGGTGTGAATGAACAGGAAGAAGAGCTGCTGCCTGTCCAGCAGGCTCTGGTGGTCAGTACCATACAGATGTTTCACAGCTTGCAGTTTGAGCAGTTGACATCCCCTGTAGTACTTGGACTGTTGTGTAGGAGACACAACAAAATAGCAGCAGTACTGAAAACCCTACTTTTATGTAGAAACAACCCCATTCTGCATCATGCAATTACTAAAAGAAGTATTATTTATCTCTTTTCTCTCAGTTCTATGGATAGCATGAACCTTCACAAATACAGCATTTGTAAATATGTTTGATTATTTCCAGCTTCTTCTTCAGTCTCTTTGCATTTCACTGTAAGAAAATGTGACCTAAATAACAGGCTTTATAAGATCTTCATCCCCATTTATTAAAAAAGCATTAACATTCCACTGGATGACTAAGATTCATTTCTCTCTAAGTACATAGGTGAGGAGCAGTGGTTTATATTTATAACTTTGTAAAACAATCTCATGTTTCTTTGGTAAGGGATTACTTTGGAGTGCTTGTGTATAAGAACTAATTATCCAATAAACTCAGGAACTAAGCATCTAAACAGATTCTGAGGAAGCTTGAGAGTAATACGTACAGGCAGTGTGAACAATCAGCTTGAAGCATTTTATTGCTCTGTGCTGTTCACATTAGTAGGACTTGTGGATGTGGACATAGATCACCTCAAAGTCTCTCTAATTGCAGAAACCATGTAACAAACATGACACGGGCTTTTACGCCCATGTCACCTTCTATGTTTTCTAGTTGTTCCAAATACCAATATACACTAATCCTTTCCTGTTTTGCAGTCTGCTCAAATGCCTCTCAAGCCTCACCATCTTAAAACTTCAGGGGATCTGCTGACACCAATAGAAATGTACTGCACTGTCTGTGGAAATTCATGTTTGGAGTTGTAAACATTTATTTGGCAGAACAGGGAGAGGTCATGATTGCAGTTGAGATAAATCCACTCATCAATTTCTTAACTGCTGTTCAGTTGCCATGGGAGTAGCATTTCCTAGTGACACTGTCAACAATGGTAATTAATTAATGATAATCCGTTCTGATTTCAGATATATGAGTTGGATGAACTAAGATGAGGTTAGGTTTATATGTACACTCTGCTCTGAAGAGCAGGCTTTTAAAATCTGTCTGCTTAGAACTTGATGAATTTGGTTTCGGGATAATTTGAGGGGACAGGGTAGAATCTTGTACTAGTTAATTGCAAATATAAATAGCTGAGTTAGGAGAAATTATGCAATATTTAAGGAATCATTGTTTAGTGAATTCAAGTGTGTTGGATGCCTCAAATGGACATACATAGGGTAGCAGAACACTGAAAAACTGTCTGCCTGCACACTGGAAATGTGGAGGTATCCTGGCAGACAGCCTAAATTCCTGCATTCTATCAGTAGTATGAGATGAATTAAGTCCAGGATTTCAACTATAGTCTTCCAAGAGCACTTCTCCAGTGTAGTGAATCCTGTAAATTAGAAGGGCTCAGCATGGGATTACCATGATGGGGCCACTTTCAGCAGTTTTACTGGTTCCTCCTGAAAATAAACTGGCTGCTTTAGCATTTATGTTCTTGAAGTATTACAGTTGATTGGTCTAAAAGTATGCAATTAAGGATAAACGCTTAGATTATCTTCTTAGCTGTAGTAGAATGGATAGCAATTCTCCATGAGAGAAAGAGAAGTTGTGTGATAGTTGGTCTAAAAACTGTTACCATATCACATCTTTTTCCCTTCCCAAACATAAATCTGTTCTTCAGCTTTGCTTTTAATAACTGAAGTGTTTAACAGCTGAAATAAAGCAAGTCTGAGTGGAAGAAGAACTACAGGATTATTTCAAGTACTTTTCTTGACATGCCTCACAAAATGTTCTGTTGTTATTGTGGAGAAAAGGAGAGGCATAGAAACAGAAATTGAACTGGTCAGAGATGGCCTCTTGCAAACTTTTTGCAGGGAGAAGGAAGTTATGCCTTGGATGATTGCTAGAGATAATTTGAGAGAGCTCTTTTAAGGCATATGTTGCAATTTTGTGACACACATTGGTGAACAAAAGCTAGTTGTCATTGAAACAAGGGAAAGAGGAAAGGGAATTTTTTAGGAATTGCATGAAGTACAGTAGATGACATTACATCGTTGTAAATTCATGCAGAAGAAATCAGGAAATTGAAATCAAAGTTTTGAGGAGGTGCTTCAGTAAAAGCTGAGCCAGGTTTCTCTGAAGTCAAAGGATATTTCAATTGGCTTGAGGAGAGCTGGGTCAGGTCAGTTTAAACTCTGGTTCTTTTTCAGACAATGAAAAGCTGAGATGAGCTTCCTAACAGGGAAAAAAATGGTAAATGGGCCATCAGAAGAATGAAGTCATGAGATGTTTAAAATCTTTTAATAAAGCCAATGAAAGTGAGTAGTAATGATCCCAGTTCTCCAGAGAGATGATAAATTGTCTAAGATCCCAAGGGACTTCTTCCTATGCTGTGTGTTGGGTTTGCTGGAGAAAGATCAACAAAAATACTTCATACACTAATGCTGTGTTATTTTACAGAGGTCTGAAGTAAAATATAAATATCTTGCACATAGCACGTAGCTAAGCTGTCTCTCTTGTACTATGAGGTAAAACCAAGCAAGGATTATGGTTTGCTCTTTCTTTTCTGTATGGATGGAAAACTACTGATATTATTGTCATTTATTGATGGGATAAATTTATCCTATTAGTTTTAATGCAGACAAGGTTAGAGCTGAGCTAAAGTACTGTAGATTAGCATGAAAGAAGCAACAAGCTTGTTCACAGAGCAGCAAAAGGTAGTGAATGAAATACCTCTCTTACTCCATCTGCAATCTGGAGGCACTTCTGGATTGGGAGGGGTCAGCTAGTGAGCTTTAGCTAATGACACTTCTGGTTTTTTTTTTTGTTTTCAGATATCTCAGCTTATGACAGAGACTAGTCGAGAGGGCCTGACTGAAGCAGCATTGAACCGCTACAATGCAGATAAACCCTCCCTGTACAGCTTCCCTGCTTCCCAGAGCACGTATGTTGCCAGTGAAGTATCCACGGGCACCTCAGTGGCAGCATCATTTTTTGCCAGGTAAGAGAGATTTCTCAGGTTTTCCTTCTCTGGAAACATAATTTCTTTCAAAGGAGGTGAGTCTGTAGCGAAGAAGGGGGATTGACAGACTACAGCATGCGTGTCAAAAACGTGGCTGTAGATACAGACCTATCGCAGACTGTCAGGAATGACCATGAAAATATTGTTCAATCCACCTGTATGCATTTATCTGTAAAATGGGGGTAGTACTTCTACCCTCTTCTGTAAAACACCTCTTTAATGCTTGATTTGGGGTATAATGGGATTGTGCTTCCAGAATAATGTTTTACTGACATTTTTAGAGGGGTGCATCCCTGAATGAGAAGGGCCCATCCAAGCAAGTTTTTGAGATAGGCAATTAATTATAGACCTAACTGGAGGTGTGTGGTTCTATTTGGTAGTGATCTTCAGACTTTATTGAATTTTACTTCCATCTAGGGAAATTATCAAGATTCCCAGGCTTAATTTTCAAGCTGAAAAATTAAGGTTTCTGATTTCAGCTCCTGTCCCTGTCATGTCATTAAATTGACCTGAGGGTCTAAATTCAGCCTTGGAACAGCCTTTTGGTTGAATATTCAGACAATGTTAAAAAAAAATATTGAGGTAAAATTTCATAAAAAAAGTCTTACAACTATCTTTATTAGTTTGTTAGTAAAAACGTTTTGTTAAATGGTCATAGCAGCTAATAAGTGAAATATCAATTTTCACCAATGGAAATATTTTTTTGTGCAGAAATACACTCTTTGCAGAACATAATCTCGTTAGCCCAGTTGAATCCTTATGTAACAAAAGACGTTGAAATAATCCTTGTCTTTTAATGCTTTTTATTAATTAAGAGATTGACTTGGGAAGAGTTGTGAAAGCAATGAAATAACAAGAGAATAAGCTATTATTATAGCACTTGCAAACCAATCCAGTGAGAGATCTTGATTTCAAAATGTGGAGTGAACTTTGAGTGAATGCCTCAAGCATTTTCAGATTAGCTTCCTTCCCTCGAGAGAGCCAAATTATTAGTAATTCCATATGATTCTATTTTATTTTAAAGGTAAATGGAAAATTTATAAAGTTGTTTGACTCCATAAATCTGGAAAGAATATTTTCCTCTCCTATTTTTCCTCGGCAACATGAGGGTAACATATGTTCAATCAGTGTCACACAGCAAGGGAGTCATGTAAAAGGATTAAGAGTAGAGTTTTAGAAGATCCAGTTTGGGACAGCTCTGAAATTCTTTTCTTTACAGATGTGATGCTGCAATAGCATATGTGAATGGTGACAGTGGTCTGCTGGCCTTTTCTGTTTAACTGCAGGCAATTTAAATTAAAATTGCTGAATGTACACACATGGTAATATGTAACTGGTGTGCAGATTGGGATCAGCACATATTTTAGCATGAGTTGATTTATGAAGATGGCTTTACTCATTTGTTCTTCATTGTTTCACTGTTTATGCTGAGAGAATTAATTTGCTCTTAGTATACTCTGCTGAAATGTAGGAAACTAATTAAATATACTCAAAATCCCTAGTGTAAATCACATAATTTTAAGTAGAACTCCGTTAGCTTCTAGCTGATGTTATGAATTCTTGGGTGTGCTTGGCCCTGCAGAGATCTCATGTTTAGGCTGTTTATTTTTAAACTCTACTTAGCAAGACAAAACCACCTGGTTTAGTTTGGGGTATTGCACAATTAGTTTATAAGTTTATATAAGTCAGTTTTGTCCTGGACTTCAAGTTACATCATCTGCAGGCAATTTAAGCATATTCAAGTCAGTTGTTCACTGCTTGACCTTTTAACAAGAAAATCCACACTTTGTTTTCAAAATGTGAATGTTTATTTTTTGTTTTGCATCTTATGTGTCTATTTGCATTTTTTTAAAGTTGGGGTAAGAAGCATAAGAACCCACATGTATGTGTATTATAAAACACAAGGTAGAAGGCAGTGGTTGTCTAACTCACTAAGATGCTGCACTGTTTACAATGTGAAACAGTACTTTGTACCAGGCCTGTGAATTCCAAACTTTTGCTTTTTTCTGATGGTTAGTGGCACATGGAATAGTTACTACCAACCACGTCTGGTTTTTTTGAATTTGTGTCACATACAATGTTTACACAGTCAGTAAGTGAGAAATTATTACAAAGCCAGAGAAATTTGCTAATGTGAAGCTGAAGTTCGAAGTAGAAAAGTGAAACACTTTCTTTTGAAATTTGAATAGTGTCCCATAGTATTTCACTCTAAGTTCCTTAACAAGCAAAGCAAACTTCAGATGAGGCTCACATATAAGTCATCCATAGTGAGGAAAAATCCCAATTAACTAAAATACCACAGTACAGAGGAAACGTCAAGGCATCCATGGGAAATTTTGGTTGTAATTACTTGAGAAACATCAAGAGTGGAACACTGGGAGCTTATGACTTTTCTGTTCTCAGGCATACTAGTCCAACATAGATAGTCACTTGATTGGTCTACAGCTGGCATTGAGCCATGAAGAAGTGTCCTGAGGCCATAGTGATTCTCAGGGTTTATAAAAAACAGGAGACTTATCAGATATCTCAATAATTGACTGTTATATTTCATGATCTATAGCTGACAGATTTCCAAACCAGCTAAAAGGGCTGCAACTCTTGTGAATTGTCATTTGTTGGAATATTGCTGCAAGGGAACTTATGACACATCAGAATTCCCAGGGAACAGCATGTGAATGTTTTAAAGGAAAAAACACTGAAAACTGTCCAAAGTGCTCAGCTGGTAGGCTTATGAATATTAGATGATACAGGTATGAATAATGAATTTCTAATGGTGATTCTGCCACAGAAACTGAATCTAATTAGTTGTGGTTTTAATGACAAGCACCAAATTTGCCTTTCAGTTCAGGGCTATCACTCATTTTTGTTTCAGATACATTTTAATCATGCTAATTTGGCATCAACTCGCTTCTTAGTGATACACATTTGTGATGAGAATAATTCACTTAGTGAATGTGAAATAATGTTAAGATTCTTTACAGACGAAGAATCATTTATAGAGCATTTTCAATTTTTTTGCTATGAATTGACTTTTGTCTCCAGTTTGGGTCTTTGTCACAGGGAGCGCTGTATCTTTGGGCCATTGCAGTTTGAGGTGTTCTAGCCTCTTACCTTATGTCCTTCAAGCACGATGTAAGAGTGTGCCACCCCTAGTCAGGGGATCAGTATATGCTGGTGCTGATGCTGCCGAAACACTGAGAGAGGAGCCTTCTGTTGTCTGTTCAGCTTGTCTCCCTGGTGTCTCTGTGAAGCTCTAATAGGCCAAGAGACACAGCACTGAATCTTATTCCTATCTAGGCTGGTTTCTACACAGAGAACTTCTGGGAATCTGACTTCAGCTTTGGCCTGACTACTCTGTAAACAAAGCTGCTCTTCTGAACAAAATTTCTCTCTTGTGACTGGGCTGTAGAGTTCCAATAGTCTCTCAAAGGGTGATAGGATGATACAGGAACTAAAAGGCAGAGCTGGACCAGAGCCTTTCAGTTGTCCTTTACAATACCTTAGAGTTTTTGAGATCTTGGTGCTGTTCCTTTTTACCCCATCACAGCAAGCTTGCTTTCTTGGAGAGGAGGAACTTTTATTGCATCAGGACAAAGGAGAAACATAACACTTGGAGTGTAAAAAAAAAAGTAATTTTTCAAGAAGGAGATATTTTTGAAGGTTAGTCTTGAAAGTTGTTTCCTGTTGCTAGTCAGAAGTGTAACAGTGTATTCTGAACAGAAGCCTGCCTCAGTCTGAAATCAGATATAGTCATATTTGTATTAATTGAGCCTAATGGGAATATAGATAGTCTTGAAAGTAGCCTGAAAAATCTGTTCTAGGGATCATTTTCCATGTCTTTCTATAGCTAAACACTAAACAGGGCCACACAATGCTACTGTTGTAGATGTAGCAAGGCATGTTTTTTTGAAAGAAATGCAGAAATGCCCAGATTTTTTAAAAACTTCTTATTTTAAAACAAAATTAGAATAGAAAAACTTAGTTTCATGTATAAATGAGATGCAGCTACTCAGCAAGGGATAAGCTGTACTTACAGTTACCTCCATTCTTGGAAAAACTGCAGGTGACCCTTTCCACACTCATTCTCCATTCCTGTGTGGTTTGGCAGCTGGAGGAGGAGGAGGAGGTGAGGGGCAGTGCCTTACTGCCAAGGGGTACTGTGGATGTTGTGTTCAAAATGCTGCTGAATGTTCCATAGATTTCCCTTTCCCTCCTGGGAATCCTTTTTGAATATTTTTTAAAATTCTCATGCATCTTACATGAGCTATAAAGCTTACAAGAGGATGGTATTTGTGGGGCCTCTTTTTAAAGTTGCTGTGCTGTTTTGATGACTTAACTCTCCTGAGCCTCTGGCATCTCATGTCTCCCTGTTTTTTGCATACATGTAGTAAACTTCAGTTTATCATACAACTTTTGATGTTTGCTGGTTTTTCTCATAGGTGCTATATTATGTGACCTGTGTTGAAATTTAAAGTAAGGAGCTAGTCTGTACAATCTTTCTTTAAAATAGACAATATATGCCTATTTTAAAGCCCTAAGGAACCCAGGAACACCAGAGTTTTAATTCCTTAAAGACTGTGTATTGTTTAAAATTAATCATTTCATTTTAATATCCTGGCTTCAGTTTGTCAGAGGTCCAGGGGAAGTTCATAAAACTGAACTTTTCCTGGCATTGCAACAGAGGATTTGTTGGACCATGTGCAGGAACAACAGGTAAGAAACAGAGGCAGCATCTAGTAGAGAAAGAAATGGGTTGGAGAGGATATCCTTGTACCACAGAGTCCAGCTTTGGCTTGGGAAGCTCCACAGGAGAAACGTTTGATTTGTGTCAGTACTCTGGCTACAGCTACTGGTGTAGCTGGAGTGTGACACCAGCAGAGGTGAGAGCCGGGTCAGGGGGTCAGGAATCTGCTGTTGATACTCCTGTAAGTGGTGCAGGTGCACAGCAGCTGTGCAGGTACACCCAGGGCATTGGTGCT